CTTCATCATACACGCGTAAATCTCCACATATTCATCTTAAAAGAACGACAAACCATTTTATCGAATTTTCGTACAAATTCAATCGATAATTTTTGCTATTGAAAATCTGGTAGCAGTACATTTTTGTAGAATGCATTATGAATACAATAAAGCACTTTTTTGTCATGAACTTAAAAAGTCAAGCAATTTACATTAAGTGTTGGCTAACGTGCTTCAACAGCAGTCACGTGTTCTTAACCCATCATCCGCTCAAGCAACACTTAGGCAAATGTGGCCAAACTACATCCAGGTAGTGAATAGGCGGCCAACCAACCTCTATAGTATTGCTCTATAACCAACTACACATGTATCGCCACATTTTTATGAATGAAATCCACTTCACTTTACTTTTTAGATTGTAATGTCTCTTAAAAGTTATCAAACAACAATGCAAAAATACAGATCTTACTAGAAAATAGATATCTATATTGACTATATAGATATCTATATAGACTATATAGATATCTATATAGACTATACAGATATCTATATATTCCCTCCAAAAGTCATTAGAATGAAGTTAATAATATAAAGTTTAATTACTTACAAGATGAGACACTATCTATATTAGTTTGGTTTAAAAATATTAAAAGCTGAGTGCTCGAGGGACTACTGGCATTAACGCTCGCAAAGAAAGTATTAGATTGTCGACTTTGGAATTAGCTGCCGCAGTCCAAAATATATCGAGGTCCATGTTTATACCTGGGTTTAATCCTCCATCTCCTATTGTGTTCAAATATCAATAACAATTCTTTTAAAGAAAACATTCAATTTTTGAATTGAATGTATGGCTTCAGGGCGTTCTGCCCCATTGTGGAGCGGTAGACCGAAGCAGAGACAAAGGAAGGTGAGTAATTCTATGTGGAGACCTTAAGGCAAGAACTGGAAGGGACTACAGAATACGATATGGTTGGATGGGGCCTCATGTAAGTGAAATGGTTAGGAATGAAAATGGCCAGCTATTGATTGATTTCTGCATTTGTGCGGAAACGGATATCAACTTTTCTTTTCGTTGCTTGGTGCAATTTAGCTGAATTAGGATGAGAACAATATCAAAAAATATTTTAAAGATTCAAAACAATAGAATTATCAGGATATTTTAGAAACAGGAAATTCTGATAATGAAATAACAGAACAACTTTTAAAATCACTATCTGAATACTAACATAAAATAAAAGAATGTTCTGAAAAACATAAAATTTTCTATTCACTATATCCATGACACAACTCATTGACCAAATATTACAAGAAAAGAATTCCAAGCATGCAATTGCTATTCCTGACACATTATTCACTCCTGCTTCCGAATTGTGAATTATTCGTACTCACAATCCTTAGTCCCTTAATGAATATGTACACCGAACCTGATCAACTCACCTTTAGGAAGAATGACTGCAGTTGCGCTACTATTCAAGGATAGGAAGCTGTTTGAATGATAAGCGGTAATGAATCAATCCCTATGACGCTGCTGCTAGTTTTCAGATGGATCCTAAAGGAGTTCTCACTCAATGGAAGTGATAAACCGTTCAATAATACACATCAATAACTCTCAAAACCCTGCCTCAAACTAACATTTAAATCGATAGGTGGAGGATACATGAGTACAGGATCCTTTAAAAATATCGATAAAATCGTTTATAATACTAGACCTAAGGTACCAGAGCTACCCAGAAGTAGGTTACATGGCGCTACAAGTTGTGCACACAAACAAATTGAGGGAGGGGGTATATTTTTATAGCGTTCTGAATTTTTAAATGCCACATTTTTACAGAGTATTGATTTTTAAGAGTGGGACTTATTTATACGGGTTATAATTTTTTGGAGGGAGCTATATGTCTGAGGGGCTCCAATTTCGAAGAACGTTCAAACAAGGAGCAGATCACTGCATATATATGATAATCATATGTCACCTACAATTTTTCAAATTCTACTACTGTTTTAAGAAGAAAATGCAACAAAATTTCTTGAGAAGAGGAGTTCGGGGGGATAGCTTTAAGGGGAATGCACAGGGAACTGTTCCTAATGTATAAATTCGTTATAAGGTAAATATCCCGAGATCCTTTGAGTTAACAATCGGTTATAGTGTACAGGAGGTGAATGTAAGTGTAATAAACACTGTTGGGCAAGTAGGTGAAACAATTTTCAAACGTTTCGAAATCAACAGTCTTGGAAAACCTAATCTTTATTTGGATAGGATATGTTTTGTTTTTTTAGAACTTGTTTATCGAGAAATATTAAAATCCAATAAAGGTCATTTATAATAGCGTTCAGAGATCACATTCACACTCTATGTACAATAAATAAAAATAAATTAAACAGAAAAATTATATATATATATATATATATATATATATATATATATATATATATATATATACATATATATATATGATAGCAGTACAATCATTATCATGCTTTCTTATAAAAGCGAGAACGACAAGCCTGGGAAATTCCGATGAAACAAACCCAATTTCTTTCCTCATTGAGTTTTATCATAAAAGTTACACTGGGTCATTAGCTAGCAACTTCAGGACAATGAGATAATTAAAAAAAACAAATATTTTTTAAAAACTCAAAAACTATCCATCCGTTTATTTTAAGGTTATAAAATAAAATTCGAAAGCATACGTTGGTAAATATAATAATGCTTCTGAAGAATTTGGAAATGACGATATAATAAATCATAAAAAAACGAAACAAAAAAATATATAACAAGGTATAGAAAGAGCTATCAAAAAATAATAAAATATAAAAAAAAGTTAGGGAATATGGCACGTCTTCCTGGGACGGTTACTTTGCCGGTGAACAAACTCTGACAAGAGATTGTTGGGAGGGAAAAAACCTGACAAACGGTACCTAGATCATAGCCAGAGCTCCGTTTTCAATACACGGCTTGCGGAATGTTTTCTCAATACGATTCACGATTTATTAAATATTCTTTTTATAAAAAAATTGGGAATTGAAATCAATATACAGGAATAAACCAGAATTGACTTCTTTAATTATTAATTAACAATTGACTAAACTATTACTTTCATAGTGAACTTCAAATAAAGTCTCAAGTTGGACCTCTTTCAACACTTTTAAAAATCCAAGTCAGAAAGGTGTACATTACATAAAATATAGAAGCTCATCATCATTCTTACTAAAGCCACAATTTTAAATTAATGAATTGAATTCAATGAAATCATTCTTGTAGAATAAATCGTCTACATATTATTAAAAATTTTGAAGTAGAATAAAATTCAAAATAAAAAAAAAAAACATATTTACAACATACATGAAATATTCGACCATCGAAGGGTGAGACTACTTGACGAATGAAGTTCTGTTTCTTGGACGACAGAGGCGGGAATTAGTCCGCTATAAATTTATCCGACTAAAAACATTACTAAATTTTTATTTAAAAAAAAAATTGTTCAAAATGACTTAAATTTTAGTCGGTTAACCGGATAAAAATCCGAACAATGTTTTAGGCTAAAACTTTAATCGGCAAAAATCAATTCGAAAAACATTTAATCAAATAAAAACTGAATAACTTATATAAGCCCCGAAGAGCCCAACAATTTCAAAAGATAGGGACTCAAGTTGAATATTGAATTTCTGATTTTAAAAACAAATAAAAAAATGTTAATATTCTCTTAAAGCCCTACTTAAATGAAAAAAAAAAATAAGTTCGGCATGAAATGTTGTGATGTAGTATTTTGCTGATTGAAATAATTACATGTAACGTAATGAACAGAAAAATAAATAACTCATTAATAAATAAAACACTAAAATCAATTATAGACGTTAATTAACGCATCGAAATATAGGTTTGATTTTAAATTTCTCTTATCATTCGTGGCTAATTATAGTCATGATTATTTTTTGTGAACAAAATGGGTTAATTTTAGGCCAACTCGGGCGATGACGACTCTGGTTTTACAGTTCAAACCTTTGAAAGTTGAGGTATTCACTTTGCAAATGATAAATGTGCCCTCGGGAGTGACTTCTCTACCTAGAGTCGATCCACGACAAAGAAAAACAATGTTCCGTCACATGAACATGCGCATGTGAATTGCAAGTTAACATTCTTACTCCAACTAGGCTAATCCTTCCAAATTCCAAAATCTTATATTTTTTTCCGAAATCCTCATAAATACCTTACAGTAAACCGAACATCGAATTTCATAACTTCGTGCCCAAGTCTACAAGATGAAGGTTATTGGAATGGCGTTACATATCCATTTCAAGGCTCAGAATGAAGTATTCATTGAGAACTCAATTCGAACATGTTTCATTTCGAACATATAAAAAAATAAAATTATTTTCCCCCCAATGATTCACCTTTCTACAATAACAGACCAAGTTACGAAAAATCAGGTTCCTGATTTTTATTTGATGGCCTAACTTAAAATACCGCGTTTGAAGTGGGCGTTATTTTATATTAATACGTTTGGAGAAATGAATTCCATGTTTTGAATGCCATGTAATTGTAATAATATTGATAAAGGAAATAAAAATGATTGACCAATTCTAAGTAATACAGAAATCGAGTTCAAATAATTTATGAATTAACATTTGATAATAGATGCTAATTAATTTTATAAATAAGTAACAAGAAAAAAATTTAAATTATGTTTGTATTACTGGCCAGAATTTCAATAATATTACAAATATATTATGTTTTTATAAATATTTTTTCACTATTGATAATTAAACATTAAAATATCATTATTTATTTCATTAGGGATTATGAAAATATTACATCGGCATATTTGTACATTTTATTTGACTGATTTTATTCGTTTACTTTAAATAGTAAATGTCTTGTTGACATTTATAAAGGTTACATTAAGATAATTATTTTTATTCAAAACTATTCAACTGACAGAGGGATTCAGTTGCCGCGGAAACTTCAAAATCCAATAACCAGGACGAACAGCTGAGATTCACAGCTGCCTTGTCGTACACAGGTGTCAACTGCGGCCGAAGGGAGACAGTCGCCGCAGAGGCATGAATGGAACCCTTGGGCAAGGTGACATCCTTGTCAACATTTCACAAAATGTTTGCAAGCTTACTATAAAAAAAAAGTTTTTCAAACACAGAGGCCATTAACATATTTTTTACTTTATTAAAAAGTATATAAAAAAGGACATTTATTTGTCCTTTAGATATGTAACTAAATAAAAAGGTTCTTGTGTAAACTAACTTGCAAGGTTCTTATTGAGTTCTAGAAAACTTATGATAACACTAGAAGAGGTAAAAAAAAAATACCTTATATAATAAATAAAAATATTATTTTTATCCAGAGAAACCAATAAAGTTACCTGATAGTATGAAATGGTGATTAGTTGAAAGTGTCATTGGTACTCACGTCCATACATAAGTCACGTACATCATTTTGAAATAATGATATTACCTGAAACAAACAAAAAAAAAATTTTATAAAGTATACGAATACACTTAAATCTTCAATAAAATATAAAAATATCAAGTATTAGAAATTATTTATTAAGAAAAATATGGTGCGGTGGGCTCATCATTCACTCACACCCTTACGTTTAATAGAAATATTTCATTTCATACATCGGCGGTATGTGAAAGTAAATACAAATATAAACAGTAAAACATATTCATCTAAAACACATGTTATGAATTATCACATGTTTTTAAATCCATCTAATGTGTTAAATCTGTGCGTTTTTCGCCACTGTCCACTTCACCTTCTATGAATGTATATTTTAATAATTGGTAATTGGTTGACTGTCGTGGATAATGAAGAGAAGAATAGTTGGGTGCTCAGTCAAAAAGGAAGGCAAAAATAATTTGTATATTTTACGTATATTTTAATAATTTGTTTGATTATAAGGGTGCCACTAATTGTACAGCGAAAGGCTGCCGGTCGTAAAAAAAAGTGTGAAACTGTCTTTGTTATCATCCTGAATATTTGTTTAACCATAGGTATGTATATATAATTTAATTTATATTTAGCTGTTATATTAATTAATACCAAAGAAACTATGAAAGCAGCATCAATATTATTAACCTCCGGTACAGATTCCTTTTTATCAAATTATTTTTTTATCGAATATTAATACATTCTGCCAGTTTGAAGGGCATTAATATTAAGGCTACATTAATCATTCACACAATGTGTACATACAAATAACAACCAAGATACAGATAATAAAGAAAAAGAAATATAGAAAAATAAAATAAGTAATTGCATATGCCTATGTACAAAAAGAAAATAATAGAAGCTCAATGAAATTAAAATAAATAAAACACATTGACAGCTAAATGCAATATTTACATTCGCCCAGAGTCATGTTTTGTCGACTGGAAGTTGATATTTTCTATTCAATAGTCTGTATAGCTGTCCGTATCCTCTGCTAAGTTGTCTTAGTTGTTATTCTGATATCTGGGTTCCATGTTAGTTTTTTATCTAGGAGAAAGGCAAGATACCGTCGGAGAGAGGAAGTGATATGGAATCGAAGTAGAATAGTGGACAGGAATTGCGCCTAAGGGTAAAAGTGGTATGTTTGGATTTGGATTCATTTACTTGGATTCACCACTTATTACACCAGTGTTCAATAAGAGAGAGGTGATTTTGTAGGTTTAAGGATACTGTTTCAGGATCTGGATTATTAGGTAGGATGGCTGTGTCATCATCGAATGTTGCCAGGAGGGTTTCGGGATGAGTAGGAATATCAGCGATAGACAGAATGTAGAGGACGGGAGGATTCTGTACCACAGCGAACTTGAAAGGAGCTCTCAGAGAGGTAGGACCGGAGTATTAGATATAAGGACTGGGGTGGCTGGAATTTGAGCTTGAAGAGCAGTCCGGTGTGCCATCATACACGGTTGAAAGCTTGCGCGATGTCCAGGAATGCTCCATCAAATTTATTAACATCCATCCATAGCTTCATCTTATCGTAACTTACAACTTTTTTATTTACAAAATACTCAGTAAATTCATGTTTTCTCATTAAATTCATTAATTAAGTTATTTTATTTTTATTTATTGTATATCATTTGTTATTATTATTTAGTTATAATATGTCCTCAGTTTATTTCTACATTTTCGGCACATCTAATGTGAATGTGGTCTTATCTCACTATAATTATTGCCCATGTGACAGAATATTATATTACCCAATAAATAAATAAAAAAACTATAATCATTACTGTAAACATTCATGATTACCTATATGCTTTCTACTTGAATCGTAAGAAAATTTGATCACAAAATCGAGGAATAAGGTGGCCTACAAAAATATTGGGATGTGTTGGGGGAGGAGGGGAGAGGTGGAAGTCTGGCCAAATAGTTCAATATTTTTGTAGCCTATAATCGTTTTTCTTGATTCTGTGATCAAATTATCTCACGATCCAAGAAGAAAGTGAATGGGTGTTGATGAGTTTTAGTAGCTCTTTGACAAAGTAGCTTGGATTGAGTAGACAAAGTGCAGATGGATAAGGCCCCATTGCCGAGATTTTTCGAAAATACAAAAGTTATAGATTACGATAAGATGAAGCCATTCACAAAATTTTAAGCGGATGTTATAATTTGATAAAAAGAGGTTTATACCGAGGCGAGCATATCGGAGCTGGCACCTTGCTCGCCTATGATTCAGTATATTATTGTGCACGTGCATTCTGGCGCCATTCCCCAGGTTCGGAAACAAATCCTCGGTCCCACCTCTTATAACTGAAAACTACATAGAGATATTTTATGCAGAGTTTAGCTAATATATAATACAATTATGAAGCTGTAACATAACACATATAATCTTTTTTCGTTGTATTTCCTTTTAATACTTGAACCATTTTCTTGTATTTCCCATTCATTCCTACAAGATAAGCTCTAATGAAATAAAAATGAATTTATTTTTATTCTATGATATTTATTTTACTATTTAACGGAACAATTTAAAATGACTATTCTTCCAGGCAAATATTGCCACACTTGCTCTTTTTTTTGCCTTTGAACCAAAACGTCGGCCATGATGGCATCAAAATGGTAATCGCTTTTTACCCAGGAGCTGTTGCCATCTCCTTAAGACGAAGCACATCGACGGCGGTGGAGTGATGCAACAGCGTTCCTTGGACTAATGGTGCAAAATGTTACGCCGATAGCATCCAGGCCACTGCTACCTCAATAGAGGACTCTAATGGGCGGAAGATCCAGGAAGCCATTTACTACTAGCTACGACCTCGCGGAGCCGTATACAGGCAGCAAGCTCATCTCCCGATCTAGAGGGCCCTTTCCGCTAACACTAACCAGTTGTTCGTACAAGGCATGGTGTCATAAAAGAAAATTATCCTTTCCATAAGTGGATGGCTACCTGGCTCTATCCAAGTAGCAGAGGGTGGTCATTTTCTGGAAACAAGAGAATTGCTTTACCGTTTGCTAATTACAATGATCAACGCTTGTTCGTTTATTTGGCCGAATTTGAATCGGCGTATACTGTTAAACTCACCAACTGTGTTAAAAAAATCTAAAAATGTACAAAAAAACTAAACTCGAAACCAAGATAAAAATCAAAACCTTTGTACAAAAATTATTAAATAGAAATATTGCAACAAGTTGCTAACAGACTCGGCCACCACGGCCTCACGTCTAGCTTCCCTACAAAGCTAGCGCTACTTTAGCAGCGAGTACTCTACCAGCATATCACATTTATAAAGCAATCATTTATAGACGTTACAGATATAATCTATTTGAATTACAAGAAACGTCAATTGTTGGGCGTAACATTGTATGGAATCTAATTTTGAGGCTCAGAATTCCAAAATTATTTTCTTTTTGCCTAAGTTTCAAGACTTAGATTATTTTCAAATTTTACCATGAAAAGAAAAAAGTTTTCCAGAGATTTTTTCAGAAAATAATTACAAGACACGTGTTTCAGAATAGAGAAGGGTACATTAGTAGTGGAAGTTATTTGGTTTAGTAAATGTAAAAATGAGAAACTTGCAAGACTATTTTACCTCTCTATGGTATGCCTTAGATTAAAACTTGTAGTGCGCTGTAGTGTACCGTTTTTTTTTCTAATTTGAATGTAGTGGATATCAATTTTCATCATAATTAACTATTATTCCATCACTAGTTTCACTTAAATTTGATTTAGTATTATTTGTAATTTTAGTATTTAACAAGTCTTGCTTTTTCCTCAATAAGTGGAGGGACAAGGCTGGTTCACAATTCCCTTGCCTGATTGCGTATTTTATAAGCTTTTTGATTATTATTCAATGGATATTTTGCTTCTGTTTTATTTTATTTATTTAAATTTTCTATAAATATGGTGAGGCTATTCTCTTGAAATGTGTATTTAACAAATATTTTCAGAAAATTCTATAGAAAACCTGTTTTGTTTTTTTCACAGCAGGACATGAATGCTAAATTCAATTGAATAATAAATTCAATGAGTATCATTAATTATTTTTATTGATTTTTTCAATTAGACGCCAGTATTTTATTCAACGATAAAAAAAAAATTAACATGTTTTTATATGAAATGTTTAACTTCGTTCTTTAAGTTTTAGCAATTACAAACGCAGTTGCTGTTTGAGATATGTGGATTGAAATCAACGTGAGTCACTTTATCATTCAAGAGACATTGAGCAGTCCCGTTGAAAAGAAGACGCCACAAGTCGGGTCGGACTACTAATTAAAACAACGGATTGGTTGGACATGTCGCTTTTTTAAAGATTAAATCTCCTGAAAATGGGGGGAGGTGGAGGGTAGACTCTCCCCTAGGTTCCTCTGATATCTTGACAATGCATAAGCTTCTCCTTCCTCGCTACTATTTAACCGGCCCGTATCAAGAGAATCCATCCGAGTCGAGTCCGGATTCAAATTTAAAAGTGTTGCTCTCCGACAGCGATTAGGGCACCTGACAACCAGATGCTGGCACGATCTGACGAATTAAATAAAACAACCACCACCGACAAAATAACCGATAATCATGCTAAGTATGGTTAATTATTTAAGGGAGATAAAAAGGCAAACAAGATGGAGTAGATAAGAATGTTGTTGGAGGGGCATGGATCCTTCCTCCTTCAAGGGATAACGCTTGAAGAATTAACTTTATCCATAGCAGAACAGAAAGGGAACATCATTTCTTCTACTGCTGACGCTGTCAAGTGAAAGGTGCCTGTGTGGCAATATTGCTCTGAGGCTATTGTGCCTGATTTCGAATTCAATGGACTATTTCGTTTTAGTGATGAAATAACATGTGCACCTACTCCCCAGTCCTTTACGATTGAGACTGCTTATATTAATCTTCTTTTTATTCCCGTTCATAGCATGAATGTGATTGATCAACAGCGAATGTAGAATGAACAGTCCAATATTTCAGTCAGAA